TTGAAGGGAAGGATTCAAGCAAAGCTAAAGCATGGAAACAGTTGCCAAATCCCTTAGCTAGTGCCTTGAAGGGCCCACGTGATGACCTTTGATGTCTCGTTCAAGTCTTAAATCTGTGGGAGTAAAGCCTTCGAAGCCCTGAAGCCCCAAACCATGGAAATCCAATTCTGACTTAAATAAAAAGCATTTTGTTGAAAATGGTTTCATACCTTAAGAATCCTTGATGCATATCTTCTACTAATTTGTCTTTAATCCTCTGGAAAAAGAAAGAATTTTGATACAATCTACATCACAAAACAGTGCAATAACTCAAAAGTACACAAAACAATGGTTGCTATTAACTAAATGTTAGAGAATTTTCAAAACTCGATGAAGAAACATTTAAGGAGACAGGATAATCAGCAATTTTTAAAATGTCAGAGTTCTGCAATGCCTACATATGCTCAGAAAAATTGGCTTGAATTAATATTAAATGTATCCCTTGTTATGTATTGTAATTTCTTACAAATATTTTTAAATGCGGGAAATTAGAATTTACATTACAGAATAAATGCTAATCTTCAAAAAGTAGACTAACTTTAGATATGTTAAGTGTGTTTAGTCACTCAACAAACATCAATCACATGCTCTTGCAAGACACTGAGCTATTGACTATATAGTAAGGTACTGATGTGTTGATTTTCAAGGATCTCTCAGTTCAGTGGAGGTGTTTTGTTCTGTAACAAAATAGCTCTGATACATTTGTTTCTCACTGACATTCCATGAGGACCGAGGGTTGGTGTTGGGAGATACTCTTCCATGAGTCTTTTGTGTCCCTATATGTCTTGCTGGGTGTGCTAAGCCTTGAAAACCCTGATCATTTTCTTCCTAGTCATTTCTCAGGGTTGAGTTTGCAGTGAGCAACCTGGAGGGAAGAGATAATACCTACCTCTGGGGCAAAGACCAGGCTTGCACACTGCTTGCTGTGAAACGCTGGGATTTCACGTTCAGTGTCCCTCTCCTGTAAATGCAACCTCCGTTGTGTTCAGGCATCCATCTGGGCCCTTCCACATCACCAGTGTGGGAAGAAAGACTCGGGGAAGCAACACAAACACACTGACACACTGCTGTCTTTTGTCTCTGACCCAGGAGTTGTGTCAGCATCCAGGAAATGGGAAAGTTAACATCTTAGCCTGAAAGTAAAGTGAGACATGACCCCCTTCACAGTTCTTGACAGTGGGCTGCTGCTCTGCTCCAAGCGATGGGTTGACTGCAGGTCTGCTTCACAAGCATTCTTGTTCTAGGATCTGGGTTGAAGAAGGAGCCCCAACCTGGACATGTTCATGCCAGAGATCAGAAGCTCTAGAGGGCAAGTGCAGCCGCGCGGTCTGGAGGGCAAGTGCAGCCGCACGCAGCCGCACAGATGTAAAGCTTCTGTCCAGATGGGTTTATGTCATATATTCATTGGCCAAAGCAAGTCATATGGCCAATCCAAAGAGAGATAGGATGCATGCTTCATCTCTAAGAAAGTATTACAAATCATATCCAACAAGCATACCTCTTTTACCACAGAGGGAGTAGATAATGACCAATAATACAATCCACCACAGCAGTGAGAACCAGTTAAATATAAATGGAAATAAAACCTGTCTTTTTTTGAGAAGATACATGCACCCCAATGTTCATAGCAGCACTATTTACAATAGCCAAGACATGAAAACAACCTAAATGTCCATTGAGAGATGACTGGATAAAGAAGCTGTGGTATATTTATACAATGGAATACTACTCAGCCATAAAAAAGAATAAAATAATGCCATTTGCAGCAGCATGGATGAACCTAGAGATTGTCATTCTAAGTGAAGTAAGCCAGAAAGAGAAAGAAAAATACCATGTATCATTCATATGTGGAATCTAAAAAAAGAAAAAAAGAGGACACTAATGAACTCATCTACAAAACAGAAACAGACTCACAGACATAGTGAACGATCTTTATGAGTGTGGGAAGGGATAAATCTGGGAGTTTGAGATTTGCAAATGTTAGTTACTATATATAAAAATAGATAAAACACACATTTCTTCTGTATAGCACAGGGAACTATATTCAATATCTTGTAATAATGAAAGGAATGAAAAAGAATTCTTTAATGAAAAAGAATATGAAAATGAATATATGTATGTATATATGTATGTGTCTGTGTGTATATATATGCATGACTGGGACATTGTGCTGTACACCAGAAATTGACACATTGTAAATGACTATACTTCAGTTTAAAAAAAACCCTTCTTTTCATGACAGTGAAAAAAACTCTAAAAAGAATAAATTTAACAAAGAATTACAATTTCTACATGAAAACTTTTTTCCTCGAAGGACATAAAACCTCAATAATTGAAAACTTACGCTACTAGACAGAAATATAGTATGACTTTAAAATTCTTTCCCCATTTTAATACATTTTAATGCAAACTGAACCAGAATCTGAAGTTTTGGGTGTTCTTTAAGGTGAAAATGAATTATTTGTATGGACCAGGACACTCATCCAAGCAAAGCTAAGTAATAAAGCAAGTTGCAGGAAAATGTGCAATATAACACCATTTTTATAAAATAAAAACACTACGCATTTGTAGGTTCAAATAAATATAAATATGTACTTGTGAGAATGTGAAGGAAAGAGTGGACAGATAACTTGATTATCTCAGAAGGATGAGTTTGTAAGAGGAGAATTACACGTTTTTCTTTTGATATCTCTATAGTGTTTGACAATGTTTAGTCCAACAGCAAATAAGAAATCAGAGGCTCATAAAACTATGTTAAATCTTATCTAAGTCTCCATTAAATGGTGGTATATTTTAGGCTGACACAGGTGTATACATAAAACAAATATTTTGCTGCCTGGGCTCAGGTAAGGGGAAAGTTGGGGGTCATCTTCTGTCATCAGCATCACTTTACTCTTCAAAATCAGCTTGGCACTCTTGATAATACTCCTCATTAAAAAATTTCTTTTTCTATAAGGCATCTGAAGATGCAGCTAAAACACAAATCTGATGAGGCTTACTTGTATCACGGTTTGATCCAGGGTTATTGTGAACAAGAGTTCAACTTTTTTATGCCCAAGGACACTGATCAAAGGAACCATGTAGCCCTGACCTCAGCTATAACAGTATTTAAATCAGATTCACACAAACCTTACTTTTAAATGGGTAGGCATTATTAGAGCACAATTCTTTGCAGCTTATAATATTAAATAATATTAGAACATATTTTAAAAAATCACATGGCTGTGAAGATTTTGTATAAAGTATCCCTTTTAATCACTGAAGAACCAACCTTCACAACCCTGGAGAAATTCTCAGGGAACAATGCATTCCAAATGCTGCCAAAAGTTACTTTGAGAGGATGTATGGAAGGTATTCCAGAATTTTTCTTTCTCAAATTCTAGTCAGGCATTAGAAAGTCTCACCTGATGATGCCACACTTTTAAGTTCTGCAAAAGATCAAACCCTTGCTTTTCTTCCTCTTAGTTTGATTGACACATCTTATGATTGCCCCGCCAACAACTCCATGCTTCACCATGTACTTATGCATGACCTGTGGTTAAAGACAGTGTGGAAGGAAAGAAGTTATTTCTCAAGCTTTTTGTGGCTACAACCACACCAATAATATCTTTGAAGCCCTGTCAAAATTCTCCTCAACAAATGAGCTTTGAAAGAATTGATTGGGATGTGCACTGATGGTGGTCAAGCAACACCAGAGAGATACACACAGTGAGGAATTCAGCAGGGGGAGAAAAATCAGACTTATCCACTGCCAAGCATCTAAAACCCTGCCCAGCCATCGAAGAGAGTTATTCATGTATCATTATCAAGGCAGTCAACGCCATAGAAAGTACTAAGGGTACAATTTCCGCTGTGAGTATTTGAATGCTCACGACAAAGCTCTTACATTCCATCCTGAAGTGTATTAGTTATCAAAAGGAAAGATATTTGGCTGAAGAATGCAGGGGCCTTATTTTTAGAACACCAAAGCAATTACCAATTACTTTGAACTTTCAAAACTAATAACTTTCACTGGGGTTTGCCATATTTGGCAGACATATTTGGAACTTTGTATGTGGAACCTGAAATTTTAAGCAGTAAACACCAATATTGATGTGTGTTAAGTATACTTCTGGCAGTTATAACCAAAATCCAGCTATCAAGAGAGCACAATGGTGTTAAAAATGCTCTCTTCTCTTTCTGACTTAATCCTTGAAAGTGATTTTAGGGGAAAAAATGTAAAATAACATCTAGTCTGCCTGCAAGATAAATTCAGGTAATATTTTTGTGATATTGTGGCAGAAAACTCCATTTGGAAGTTTGGAAGGAAACATTTACTGACTTACTTTTCATATTTGCCAAACAATCCCCAAGAGAAGATTTGGGGAATCAAATTTGATTTCATTGTAACTTCCAGAAAATAATTTGGGAAAATCGGGGGTAAAATAAAAAGTTTTTACCCCAAATAAGTGAGTAGTCCTTGTTTACCCTTATCCAATTTTCACTGCTTATATTTGTGAAACTTTTCTCCTTAATTTTTATATTCCTGCCTAAGAAAACAAAGCAACATGATCCACTTGATGTTAAAAATGGCCTGTATTGTGCGCTTGCTTCCAAAATCCCTTCCAAACTCTTGCTTCCAAAGAACGTTTTATGGCAGTCTCCTTATGCACATAAAATCACGGAACTAAGATAAAAAATACAGGTCTCATAAGTTAAAAATTAAATCTTCCTTCTAAAATCCAATTGCCTCTATTTAATTGTTATCTTCAATTCATTCTACAATTTAAAATGGAATCACAGGAACCATGGTTTTGAACAAAGAGCTAGTTAAAACGATTCTTGCTTTTTTTTTTTTTTTGGCTAGTTCGGGAAATGCACCCTTATCTGTAACAAAATAGAGATGATTGCAATTCCCTTTATGCTGAGGTGCCTTCTCAGAGGATGGTCTCCTCCTCTAAAATTCACTTTTCCTCAATTTATTAGTGAAGCAATGAATTCTGCATCCTGCAAATCTCGGATCATGTAAGTCCCTTGCTCTGTAGAGCCTAGTTCAGATGGCGCGCCCCTTCCTTTGTCGTCCACGACACTCTGAGCCTTTTCTCCCAGCACTTTCCACCAGCTCTGCACCCCCATGCTGCCCAGGACCACACTGTATCTGATTTCATACAGGCAGCCCCTCGCCCAGTGTCTAGTGCCTGCTAGTCTCCCCAGACACATTGGCTGCCCAGTCCTTACAGATAACTGTGTGCAGATAACAAGTCAGTGAGTTAACTAGAGGAGAGTCAGTGATCAACTAGGTAGTGGTGACAGTGGGAAGTCAGGAAAATCTTTACAGAAGAGGTGACAGCAGACAGGATTCTAAAACTGAATAGGCTGTGCCTCGTGGAGGGGTAAGTTAAAGAAAACATGAGGGGAGAGACTCTCAGACAGGGAGAGAGTTTGTATATGGAGGGAGGAAGGAAGGAAGGAAAGAAGAAAAGAAAATATGGTAGGGAGGATGGATGGATGGGAGGATGGAAGGAAGGCTACTAAGTAAAGAAGCAAAGAAGTGTGAGGAGGTTTAAGGCAATAGGGAATGGTGGGGACTGTGGTAACTTGCGGGAGAACTTGCCTCATTAAAGCAGGGAGCCATCACCGGGCTCTTATAGATTCTTCTCATGCAGGAAGTTGGAATCTAATATTTTATCTTTTTTTAGGAGGAGCTAGAAATTGGATATGAAATCTCCCAATTTTTAGATATTGGTGAGTAACTTAATGTCTTAACACAGGCAGGAAGCACACGTCCAAGGGCTGAATTCATCTAACAACCTCTGTTTTATGACCAAAACAGAAGCCCACAGTGGTGGAGAGCAAGTTGTCCTGCCATCTCAGTCAGCAGCCAGGTAGTGGCACGAGAATTATGCAGAAACGCCCATTTTATCTCAGTGGCACTTCCTCGTGAAGGGCGTGTTTCATCTAGAGGGTTTAATTTCATGCTATAAGTCAGTTATGAGAAGAGAAGGGAAAGGTGGGGAAAGTGAGGCCCACAGACATAACTTTAGAGGAACACCTCCGTCCAGGGCACTTGAGAAGCAGAAAGGGAAGAAGGCAGGGAGGAACACAAGGAGGGTCTGCCGTGGAGGCCGAGAGACGAAGGCCAAGAAGGTCACTTATTACAACGAAGCTCTGGTTGTTTTGCACACTTGTTTTTGTTCAGAAAGTGACATGAAAAGTAACGGTAATGACTATTAAGTCATTGTCACTATTTCTTCAGCCCTTCTTTCGCCTGCAGGTTCAAGAGTGGACACTCCCTGACCAGCGATGCAGCGGGAGGAAGGCGGTGGGAGGCTCGCTGCACATCTGCTTTGCTTTAACCTTTCCACACAGGAAAAGCAGCCCTGATGGCTTGGACCCGGCTCTAAACTTGGAATTGTCTCACATGGACCTGAATCGCCCTCACCCACGACGAGATTAATCTCGCCGCATTGAAACCTCTGGAAACCTGGCATGGAATTTCCTTTTCAGATGGGAAGTCCACCTAAGAAACAGCTACAGCCCGTCAACAAATGTGGGGAGGCGGGGTGGGTAAGTTTGTTTGCAATCCAAGACACACAAATAAAAACGGCCATGAGATAACCTTCAGGGTTTGGAATCATGCTGGTTCCGAGCTGCTGGCTGCTTTGCTGTTATCTCGAGTCTGAAACATTGCTGGAGGAGATCTAATAGGGACAAACTCTACAAAAAGAAATCTGTAAAAATAACTGAGATTTGCAGATACTAACTCCTCTATATAAAATAGATGAACAACAAATTTCTTCTCTACACCACAGGGAACTCTATTCAATATCTTGTAGTAATAACCTATAATGAAAAAGAATATGAAAAGGAATGTATGTATGTACATGTATGACTGAAACCTTATGCTGTACACCAGAAATTGACACAGCATGGTAAACTGACTCTACTTCAATAAAAAAGAATGCAAAAAAAAAAAAAACAAACCCAAAATGGCAATACATTTCAAGAATCAGAGAATATTCTAGCTCTGTGGTTTTTGGAATTGAATTTGAAACCTATAAAATTAGGGAGTGAAAGCTAAACTCATACATGTTTTCACCTTTATTTACACGATGCTCAGCGTGCCTAGAATGGCTGGTAACGCGTCCAGGAGCTTTTCTGAGGTTGGAGTCCCCAGGAACAGGGCCTGAGATGAGAAGGGTTGTGCAGTGATTTAATGAGTGAGTGCAGGTAAAACCTGCAAGGGAGTGAGGGGCCCGGGATGGGACAGAGGAAAACTGGGTGAATTTATGGGTCCAGCTGAAGTCTAGCATGAGCCTGAGCCCACGGGGAGCTCTGGAGTGTGAGCAGCCCCACAGGTTGTCCCATCCTCAACAAGCGGCTGGTCTTTCGCTCGGTGCCCGTCTTTGGCAGAGGGTAATGACTGGGAGAAGGCGGAATCTTCCCTGTTTCCAGGTGAGGCAGCTCCGGTCAACTCTGGAGGAGGGTTCAGCTCACAGCCCCTGGAGGATGGATGCACTGGCTGGTAATGGGGGTCTGGACACACTGGCAAGCACCTGTCTTGTCTCCAGGTTGGAGAGTATGACTGATGTGTGGAAGAATCCAGCTCACCTTATAAAGTCTAGTCTTCAGCTATGGCAGGATCTCCTGGACCCCAGTCAGGTTTACCAACCTAACCCTCTTCTGTTTTCTCCTGGGAACAACAGGCCCTTTTATCTGCAATGACTTCGTCCAGTGGGATCTACTAAACTGTTTCTCCATACCCCAACCTCCTTCTCTCCACCCCATCTTCTGCACTATTTTGGGACACATGTAAACAGCTGAAGAAACTGACAAAAACAGAAAGGAGACAGTAGGTGAGAGGCAGAAGTGTGGCTCTTACTGGTTCAAAAGTTGGGGGGTATGTCTGTTTTCCTTGTTAGCACCAACATGGTGTCTCACAGTAAGAGAATGTGAGTCAGAGCCTCTCTGGTCTCTCTGGGAAGCTCATGTCCTGTTCTGGTTCAGCCTTCGGCGTGTGTGACTTCTAATCCAAAAGTGTGCTCCCTTACAGAACCCCCTGAGTGAATCAGGCGTGGAGGCTCAGGCTGGCCTTTGGTACCTGGTCTTCTCAGCTTTTAGATTTCACTTTAATCTGCTGTTTATCTTCCAGGGAATTTTAAAGAGAAATTGGGAGGCTTCTTAGAGTTATTAGGAACGGCCAGTCTTCTGCCAAGTTAATTCAGAAGTTTTTAAACGAGGGGAAAAAAAGTGTTTGCACATTTGAGGACTGTTTTGAGAACTCCTTTAAATTGAAGCCTTTTTGCTAAAGACTTCCTGTTTAAACCAGATACTCTTATTTCCACATACACTTGAGAAATAAATGATAAACATGCAAATATAAAAGTAATAAATGAAAAGCACTGAGGCTTTTCCGATCTGAAGTCTTAATACTCAAGAGACAAGGGGATCTAGTGGAGTTACAGGAACCTTAGATTACGGACAAGCAGAAATTCAGGAAGAAATGAAGTGGCCAAGGGTTTGTGACTTTAGTTCAAATCTCTGTTCTACTCCTAAATACCTGCAACTTTGGACAAGGTTCTTTATCTTCCCAAGCCTCAGTTTCTTCAGCTGTGTGATGGGAATGACATTTCTTTCCTCTCTGGCCCAGCATGGTGAGAACCAGGATGTTTATCCTGCAAGCTCTGGAGGCAGAAAGCCTGGCTTTGGGTTTTGGCCTCCACGCACCAGCAGGTTGACCCATTAACCTTTCTCAGTTTCCTTTCCTGGAAACAAATGAGCATAATGAGAGTCCTTATCTTCTTGGGGGTGATTTGAGGATTAAATGCGTTAAAACCACTGAAATGCTTAGAAGAGTACTTGACTATGCGTAGCAAGCATTACACCAACAGGGATTAATAGATACACATTACTACCTATAAAAGAGATAAACAAAGACCTACTGTGTAGCACAGGGAACTATATTCAGTTTCTTGTAATGAGCAGTAATGGAAAAGAATCTGAATATATATATGTATGTATATGTATAACTGAATCTCTTTGCTGTACACATGAAACTAACATTGTAAATCAACTACACTTAATACAAAATAAGATTTAAAATAAAAAACCAACACGGGCTGCTAATCTGTTAAGACATTATGATTTTTCTTTTTATTATTATTATGTTTTAGATTTAAAAAAATTGAAGTACAGTCAGTTACAATGTGTCAATTTCTGGTGTCTAGCACAGTGTCCCCATCATGCATACACACAGCTATATTCATTTTCATATTCTTTTTCATTAAAGGTTATTATGAGATATTGAACATAGTTCCCTGTTAAAATATTATGATTTTTAAAGTAACAAATGTGTAGAAAGAAAATGACAAGTGTTCAATGAATGTTCTAACAAGGATTTGATCTGTGTGTCTTTCATAGCAAGAGGTATATTCTGTGTGAACACCAACTAAGTTTTTCTGACTTGATGTCATCATCACTAAGTGCAAATGACTCGCATGTCACACAAGAAGGTAACTGAGGCCTTATATACGAATACTGACAGGTAGATCTCTCTAAGTTCATATTGTTAATATGGTGCATCTTTCTTTCTTCATTTCTTTTGCCAAGAATATAAAATCTTCTCTTATCTCAGTGTGGTAGATCATACTGACAGCACTGAAAACAAGCCAGTCACTAAGAAACAGGCTTTAACAAAATTAGCCCTCCCCTACAAGAGTGACAAGGAAAGAAAGAAGGAGAGAGAGAAATAAAGGGAGAGACAGAGAGGGAGAGGGAGACAGAGCAAGAGAGAAACTATGAAAGTGAACAAACAGGACATAAAATAAACTAAAATGGTCACACAAAGATGACTGTGTAACTCAGAACCCGAGTCTAGTTGGCATCTGCAACTGACCTGACAAGCTAGTCAACGCTGGATTGATGCTACCTTGGATGAAAGAGTATCAGAACGTCCTCTCATTTCAGGGCAAATGAACATCTAGATTTTCCTTTTGGTAACTTCAAGACTTAGAGCACTTGAAATCCATTTATAGAGACCATGCAGACACGTTGAAATTAAGCACTGAAATGTGTCTTCAAGGTAATGATAATTAGACAGGTGTTTCCGCTCTAAGGTGATACGTTTCCTTACAAAACTTTGTGCTCTGCAGTGTGGTTTACTAAAGGAACTGGGTTTATGAAGAAAAACGGTTGGAGCAGGGCCACTCAAAACGATGCAACTTCACAACCAGAGCAGTGGAAAGAAACAAATTGGTTCTTGGAACAATGATCTCAAAAGCCCAGGTAGGCAGCCCTCAGGGGGTCTAGGCAAACAGGAGAGGGGCGGCCCCTGCTCATTTACATCAGAACAGAGAAGGCAGGGCTGCACAGCGCAGGGTGGGGAGGCCGTGGGCTGCTGGGAAGGTGGGCACCCCAGGTCCTGCCACTGCCCCAGGGTGAGGGCCACACAGGCTGGGCTTTACTTCTAAGGGAGGGACCCCGGAGGTCATGTTTATTTTCTTAAAGATACAGTTTGTAGGTTCCGAGTGCCGGTGTGCTAATCAGGAGGCTTTCTTATTTCTTTTCTGCTCAAGGTTATAATTCCGTTGCTGCTCTAACAGCACCCCTTGCCCAGAAAGAGACCATGAAGCAAGACAACTTCAGGTCCTGCTAACCTCGTTTCCTATTGATCAACTGCACGTGAGTGAACGTGCATTGTAGCTTGTCTAAGGTGGCCAAAATGGTGTTAAGAAATTGGATACATTTTTAGGAAAATTCCAAAGCAGCTTGCTAAAAAACAGGCTGCTTCTGAGGATGGGAAAGAGAGTTACAGTTTGAATTAAAGCGCTGACAATGGGAAAGAGAGTTACAATTTGAATTAAAGCGTTGGACATCTTCGAGGCAACCGAGAAAGGAGCAGGCAGATGGAGGCCAAACAGTAAGGGTAACACTTAGCGTCTAATACAGTTGGTCCTCCGTATCTGTGGGCCCCCCCATAAGCAGAATCAACCAGCCACGGATCAAAAATAGTCAGAAAAAGAAATTCCAGAACGTTCCAAAAAGCAAAACTTGAATTTGCTGTGTCTGTGACTATTGACAGAAAATTTACATTGTTTTAGGTATTACCAGCCATCTAGAAATGATTTAAAATGTACAGGAAGATGTGCGCAGGTTATAGGCAAATACATCATTTCATATGACAGCATCTGTGGGTTTTGGTGCCCACAGGGGTCCTGGAACGCATCCCCCAAGGATGCAAAGGGATGACTGTACAAAGGGAACTTTCTGGGGAACTTGGAGAATCCTAAAATCCATCATTAGCATTTTCCTGATTTCCTCCTCCTCCTCCTCCTCTCCAGGGAGGTTGAGGGTGGGGGAGAGCATGAAATGAATAAATAAATTGAAACAGGGAGGACTGTGGAAGAGAGAGACGGAGGAAGATCAGTGCCCAGGGTTCAAGCATCGAGGGAGGGGCCTCCGAAGAGCGAGGAGCGTGCAGGTCAGCATCCCCATCTCGGCTCCAGTTGCAAGCCCAGGAGCCTGGGTAATGAAGTGGCCTGGGAGTCTCTGGACGAACGTCAGTGGGTCTCTGTTTGCTCTTTTTACCCTCAGTCTGTTTTCAGCTGTTTCCAGCTTCA